ATATACAATCGCTCTCCTCAATAAATCTCCTAAAACTAGTAAGGGGTTCTAATGCCTCCTTTCTTGTGTTGATACCAAAGAGAGAAAATCCTCAAGGTATTGAGGAGTATAAATCCATCTCATTAATTGGCTGCACTTGTAAAATTCTTGCTAAATTGATAGCAAATAGACTCAACAGAGTATTGAATGGAATTATATCTGCATTTATCAAGGGGAGACAATTGGTAGGTAGAGTGCTTGTTACGAAAGAGGCGATTGATGGGGTGAGGAAGAGAAAATCTTGAGGCTTTATTTTCAAAATTGATTTAAAAGATGCATATGATAATGTGAGCTGGCCCTTTCTTGATTACATGATGGAAAGAATGGGCTTTGATACAGTATAGATGGGGTCGATTTTTGAATGCTTAAAACCTAATACAGTGTCTGTTTTAGTTAACAGAAGTACTACTAAAGAGTTTGCTATGTCAAGAGGGCTTTGGTAAGGCGATCCATTATCTCTGTTTTTGTTCTTAATGGTGGCAGAAGCTTTAAATGGATTAACTTTAGCAACTGTCTCAAAGGGCTTTTTTCGTGGAGTAAAAATAGGAGATGGGGAGCTTGAAATTAGACACCTACAGTTTGCAAATGACATGCTATGTATGGGTGAGGCAACTAAAAACAACATTTGGACAATTAAATGTATTATGAGGGCATTTGAATTGGTGTCAGGCCTAAAGGGTAAATTATAGAAAGAGCTCTTTAATCGAAATCAACACTGATGAAGAATGGATCAGAAAAATGGCATGGTTGTTGAATTGTAAAACTAATTCCCTTCTGTGCAAATACTTGGGGGTGCCATTGGGTGCAAATCCAAGGAGACTAGACACATGGAAAACCCTAATTGAGATGTTCAATAGAAAACTCTTAGTTGGGAAAGGAAGATTCTTGTCTCTTGGCAGAAGAATCACCCTCATAAACTATATGCTATCCAGTCAACTAGTGTTCCTAATGTCGTTCTATCTTCTCCTTAAAAAGGTAATCTATGAACTTGATAAAATTAGGAGGAATTCCTTGTGGGGAGGCATTGAGGAAGGTAGAAAGATTGCATGGGTGTCTTGGGATAGGGTATACTGTAGTAAAAAAGAGGGAGGCTTGGGGGTAAAAAATTTGAGATGGTTTAATATGGCGTTGCTTGGCAGATGGTGGGCGAGATTAATAGGGAATGAGAAGGGTTTATGGTCTAGGGTACTTTTAGAAAAATAAGAAAAATATGGTGGCAAGGAAGGAAATTGGTTATCATGGTTCAGAAAGGGCGAAGGCTGAGGATCATCTTGGTGGAATGATGTGTGTAAATTGAATGCAGGCTTAAGTAGTAAGGATGGGTGGTTGTTTTCAAATTTCAATTTGAATTTGGGTGATGAGAAGAGTGTTAGATTATGGATTGATGCATGGGTGAGTGGGAACTCATTGGCTAATGTTTTCCCTAAACTTTTCTTGTTGGCTACAAATAAAAGTTGCAGCATCCATGATATGGGACATTGGACATATGGTTGCTGGGTTTGGAGGTTCCAATGGAGAACACTTCGAGCTTGGGAAGAGGACAAACTGAAACAATTGATCGAAGCTATACAATACATAAAGCAAGTGCAAGAAACAAAGGACACTTAGAGTTGGAGGCTAGATGTTGGGGGAAAATATACCACAAGGTCCACCTACAAGCAACTCCCATAAAAAGAGGAAAATAGGCTATTGGAGTATAGAAAACTGTGGGGTGCACAGGTTCCATCAAAAGTAAGTGCTTTTTCATGGCAATTGCTACTAGATAAAATGCCAACAAAGGTTAACTTGGCAATACGTGGGATTTTAGATGCCAATCAAAATATAAAGTGTCTTTGGTGTGATCAATTCCCTGAACATATAGATCAACTTTTTGTGTCTTGCAACATCTCTTTCAAATTATGGACAAAATGTCTCAACTAGTGAGGATTAGATTATGTTCTCAGGAATACTTGCATAGATGTTTTCAACCAACACAGATGAAACAAGTGCTTAAAATTTTTGAAAAAGGGTTGGAACATGTTATGGTTCACCATAGCATGGTTATTGTGGTTGAGTAGAAATGAAACTACTTTTTAACACAAGAAGATTAACAAGGATAAGTTATTTGAACTTGTACAAAGCCAGTCATTTCACTAGGTTAGAACTCTATTGAACCTACAAAATTTTTCTTTCATGGAATGGATTTCTAATCCAGTGAGATGTCTGACTAATAGGAAATAGAGGCTTGAAGGGGAGTTAGATTCTGAGATTCTTGTTTTGGAGTGTTTTCTACCTTTTGTTTTTGGACCCCATTTATACCATTAGCTTTACACACTAATATTCATGGGTTTAAGTACCCCTTGTACTCATATAATAAAATTTCTTTGCTTTTCAAAAAAAAAAAAAAAAAAAAAAAACTCCTAAAACACCCTTCATATGCATTGTCCCCTCCTTTGGTTTTATTGTTAAAACAATTAATTGTAATTGTTAACTTATAACTCAGTAGATATTTATTACTTAAAAGATTAAAATTAATTAATAAATTGATGTTAGAGGAGGAGGGCATGGTTAGTGAGATGGGGGAATTGGAGGGGGATAGGTGGCGATGGAATATGAAATGAAGAAGGGGGAGGTTGGGATGAGAGAGAAGTGAGGAGAGGTGTTGTGAGAGGTGCTAGGTAGTGTACAGTTAAAGGAAGGAGTAGAGGATTGCTAGAGGTGGATACATGATATGGAAGGAAGATACGTGGTTAAAAAAGCTTATGAGCTTTTAGCCCATATATAGTGCATTCTTGAGGACCAGTTTTGCAAGCTTATTTGGTGCAGATTAATGCCTTCAAAAGTTGATTTTTTCTGTACGTGTAGGAAAGCTTAATTAGTTTGAGTAAAGGTGCTACTGGTGGGGTATGAAGGGTGTGATGTCAAATAGAGTGGGTGGGGAGGGGGAGTCACATAATTTTTTATGCATTGTTTTGGTAGGATAGTAGGGAAGGAGATGAAAGTGTATATATATCTTTCTTGTTGTTTCCTGGTACATATGGTTTTGGAGGAATATGTAGTGTTAAAGAACATTGAGAATTTTAGGGAGAAATTGTTGGGTGTTTTACAAATTAAGACAGTTTTTTTGGATTAAGAACAAGATAGATGGATTTGTTTTCTCATTTTTTTGAGTAGTAGATAAATCTGGTTGAATGTGCTATAGCTGTAAGAAGGCATAAAAGATTATTGAAGATGTTCCATACACAGCAATAGGCTTATACATGAAGGACT